GAGAGATATTTCAACAAGAAATAGAGATAGACTAGTTGATTTAGAACTTCTAGAAATAGAAAAGTTGTAATCCTATCCCAATTTGTCCAGTACCACCCACAAAACATGAATCAAAATTTATTCAATTGACTCTACGTCATTTATCTTTATTTCTTTTGTCTAAATGGCAAATTTCATTCAAAGAATTTAAGTTCCAATAACTTAATCTTCTTTTGCAATGCTTTAATTATAATATTTACATTATCAGTCATTTCTTTCATGCAAACAGATTCAATGGCCAATCTTTGATCAGATTTGCGTCACGTTAATTTGGCCAGTTTATTTCGCTTCATTACTTTCCATGCAATTTCCATTTAGCCAGTTCTTTTAATGTCAATTTCAATTCAGCCGTTTACTTTTAAGTCAATTTCCATTCAGCCAGTTCATTTAAATTTTCTTTAGTCATTGCATTTTTATTTCTTTTAACACTTAGATAAAAAGTCCTTACATCAAGGCATAAAAGAACCTTGCTGGGAGTTCTTACTGGTCTCTCTTCCACACATTCGCCTGAAAGTCAGCCATCGGAAAAAAGGATAGGCTGTTGTTCATTTCATAATTTTGAGTGTTTTATATAAATACTCTGGCACGCTCGTAAGAGTCCATCAACCGGCGTAAGAGCAAAAAACCACGCGAACATATTTTGGCACGCCTGGTGGGACCACTAGTGGGTGTTTAAGAAGAGGCAAAAATGCCACCACGGCTTATGAAAAATTCCAAGGCCTATGAAAAATTCCAAGGCCGTGGTTACTGATGAAGATTTGGGGGAAGGACATTAGCCAGCTCAGGCTAAGAACTCTGCATCTAGTTCTACTGATGAGTTAGCGGTGACGACAGCACAAGTGAGCTCATTGGTAGATGCAATGGGAAGGATAGGTGCACGTTATAATGATATACAGGAAACTATGTCCCAACTTTCAACAGCTATTTTTAACAAACTGACTCAGGCTAGCAGCTCCAATAATTAGGAATCGACTCTTCAGCCGAATCCGTCATAACCTACTCAGCCAGAGAGGGCCGTTGAATTATCACAGCCATAGTCGCCAGTAATGATTCTCCAACCAGGTACAACATCAAGTCAGCCGGCTCATACGCCACTAACCTGGGCAGAGAACCACCCGCAGCCTACTGTGTCAGGTTTTAATCAGCCGCTAGTAGCAGCTCCGCGGCTATAAGTTATTCCACCAGACCCTCCTCGAGTACCTTTGAACTCGAGGGGCAATCATATCAGGTGGAGGCCACCGAACCCACTATATACTCATGTGCCACCACAGGATGGGCTCGGGGGGCAGAATATGGCCAATCAACCACATGATTGGTTGAATTATAGTTTTTAATCAGGTACCACCAGTAGTAAATCAACCAGCTCAAGTCATATTAGATAGAAGACAATTAGCTGATTTACTCACACAAGAGTACGGCCAGGAACTTAGAGTTGCCGGCCGACCACTCGATAGAACTCCATATCCAGATGTGGTAGATCAAGTTGAATTCCCTAGAGGATATAAAATCCTTGACTTTATAAGCTTTAGTGGTAAAGGGAGTCAATTGACCGTGGAACACATTGGCCACTTCATAGTTCAATGTGGAGAGGCCAGTGTGAGCCCTTAGTTAAAATTAAGACTTTTTCCTAACTCTTTGACAGGGGTAGCTTTTTCATGGTATATTCATTTATCTCCTAACTCTATTTTTAATTGGCCACAGATGGAGGAGTTATTTCACAATTAGTTCTACCGTACAGAGACAAAACCAACTCTAGCCGATTTATCCAAGCTGAGCCAATTGCCTGGTGAATCGGTCGAGACATTCATTACAAGGTTTAAGAGAGCAAGATTGAGATGCCATGTACCTCTTCCAGAACAAGAGTACATCCGTTTAGCTTTGAACGGCCTTGATTTTGAACTCCCGGAAGAGGTTTGAAGGAGTCCCATTTCGTGACCTGTATGACTTAGCCGAGAAAGCTACCAGGTATGAGTTGGTCCTCAAGGAGGAAAAGGAATGAAAAAATTCCTTGAAAGGTATGCACTATAGGGATCCCAATGATAAAGTTTTTTCAACCAATGTGGTTGAAAAAGAAGATCTTGATGCTAATTTTGCTGAAATTATTATTAAGAAGCCTTATGTATGTGAGGCTTTGACAAAACCAAAGGCATCTACTAGTGGTACTCAGCCATCAACATCATCGGCCAGGAAGGGTACGAACGACACTGGTAAGGTTTATACGTTTGACTTGGCCAAGACAGAACAAATTTTTGATCATTTATTGGCCGACAAGCAAATTGTTCTGCCAAAAGGACATAATATACCATCAGCCACTGAATCCAAAGGAAAAGAGTTTTGCAAATTTCATAATTCATGGAATCATACTACTAACAATTGTTATGTATTTAGAAATATATTACAGAAAGCAATTGATGAAAGTGTATTGAAATTTCCTGAAAAGAAGCCAGACATGATGGGGTCGATGGTGATCCATTCCTTAATATTGTAAATACCAATGTAATTAGCCTGGCACTTGAAAAAGCCACTGATAATGGTAAGCAAGAAAGATCACCAAAAATTCTTGATAGTTCATCATCAGCCAGGCAACGATGAGCAAAGGGTAAAGGACTTGGAAAATCAGTTGAGAGGGGCTCAAATTGCCCTCATCAACCATGGCTATTGCCCAAGTTGCAAAGGCCATGGGAATAATCAAGACAAAAGGAGCTATTTTCAATCAACCAGGAAGCGCAGTGTCCATAAAGGGTTGGGTTATCAGCCTAGACAGAGTCCTGAAGAAGTTAATTGACTAATATTCAGAGAGAACAGGCCAAGGGTAGTAAGAATCATTCGGTCAGAAAGATTTGTGGCCGATAGAGTTCTACCAGAGCAACATTCTTATCCTAGTTTCAAAAGGAAACCAGTAATTCAGTCAGAAATATGGGTACAAAAGGGGAAAGAATCTAGCCGTGTAAGAACGGTCAGACCTCCTTTGGTTTACCATAGTAGATGAACTCGAGTGAATCATCCAAAGTTTCCTAAGCAGCCTCCTACACGTACTCAAAAAAGGAGGATGCAAAGAAAAAATGCAGAACTTAGAAGAAAAGAGGATAAAATCGACCAGGTTCAACCAGCTAAGGAAGATAAACCAGGGGAGGCTGAAGACATGGAGGTTGCTATATCTTTTGGGAATGAGGCATCCTCTTACGAGGAGAAAGATGATCAGCCAGATCAAGATCCAAAGAATGCGGGCAAGTACAGAATTCGCTTTGGCTCCCTTTCGGATGAGGTAAATTGTAATATGGTATTTGTTTTACCTTCTGTGTTTGAAGTAAGGATAGAGCCAATGATGAACTAGGATGTTAAGTCAACCGAGCCTAAGGATGAGGCTGAATCTTCATAAATCAAGAATGATTCAAAGAGTTCATCGACTGGCGTAGGATTGGTCTCTCAAGGCCAACCAACTGAGGCTGATAAAATCATCTTTGAAAAACCACCTCTGGCTATGACACAGCAGTTGAGGCCATTGTATGTTAAAGTATGGGTTAAAGGTCAGCTAATTAATAGGGTATTGGTTGACAATGGTTTGGTGGTAAATGTCATTCCAACAACTACTTTAAAGGAATTGGGTAAGACCATGGATGATGTGGTTCCCACCGACGTGGCCGTCAATGGTTTTATTAGGGGATCTAATAACACCAAAGGTATTCTGCCTTTGGAAATTACTATTAGTGGTAAAACATCTTTCACGGCCTTCTTTATCATTGACTCAACTGTGGCTTATAATCTCCTTTTAGGCCGAGATTAGATTCACCCTAACATATGTATCCCATCAACATTGCATCAAATGTTGATTTTTTGGGATGGGAATGAGGTAAAAATTGTTGAGGCCGATAATAAACCCTTTATAGCTAGGGTGTATTCGGCCGAGGTTGCACTTTATAATGAAACTGTTGTACCTATCAAATTTGTTGGCACTAATAAGATAGGGTGACCAGCAGCAGTAACAATGAAGAAAAACTTGGTTAATACTGATATTGAAGAGCTATTGACAGAAGTAGTTCGGTCAAAAATTGATATTTTCAAGTCGACCATCAAGGAAATTGAAGACGTTTCTGATGGATTACATAACTAAAGAGGAAAAAAAGTGGCAAGCTTTCAGGGCTGCTTGCATAAGACTGAAAGCATATCTGGCTGAAAAAAGATTGGCCAGAGAAGAGGAGTTAAATGAAGAGGTATAGACCAGTACGGCCGATATAGTTGAAGAAATGCATCAGCTATTATTTGTTAGTGTTTTGCTTGAGCCTAATTTCTAGGCCGATTTGATCAAATTATTAAAGGAATATAAGGATTGCTTTGCTTAGAGTTATAAAGAAATGCTTAGCCTAGTAGAACATAGATTGCCCATCAAGAAAGATTTTTAGCCATATAAATAACTACCAAGGAGGATGTCCTTAGAAGTAATGCCCAAAATTAAGGAAGAAATTGAAAGACTTCTGAAGGCAGGATTTGTTCGAATAGTTAGGTATGTTGAATGGTTATCTAATATTGTTCCAGTAATAAAGAAAAATGGCAAACTTAGAATTTGTGTGGATTTTCGCAATTTAAATACTGCCACTCCAAAAGATGAATATCCAATGTCGGTGGTTGATTAACTTATTGATTCAGCCGCTAAATATGAAATAATGTCTTTTATGGACGGCCATTCAGGTTATAATCAAATCTACATAACCGAGGAGGATATTCCCAAAACGGCTTTTAGATGTCCTAGGTCAATTGGTACTTTTGAGTGGGTTGTGAAGCCATTCGGCCTAAAGAATGCAGGGGCTACTTATTAAAGAGCAATGAATTCAATCTTTCATAATATGATTGGCCGATTCATGGAAGTCTACATAGATGATGTGGTTGTGAAATCATTAGCCAAAAAATAGCATTTGGAACACTTGAAAAAGGGCTTTGAACGAATGAGAGTTCATAAGTTAAAAATGAATCCATTGAAGTGTGCGTTTGGGGTCTCAGCCAGAAATTTCTTGGGATTCTTGGTACACCAACAAGGCATAGAAATTGATCAGAACAAGACCAAAGCTATTATGAATGCTACGGCTCCAACCAACAAAAAACAGGTGCAAAGGTTTCTTGGCCAGGTAGGTTTTCTTAGAAGATTTATTTTATTACAAACCATGCTGGTCGAGTACATGTTTTTTCCCCTTTATTAAAATTGAAGTGACATGAAAATTTTCGTTGGGATGAATCCCATCAGAAGGCTTTTGACAAAATACAAGAGTATTTGGCAAACCCTCTGACAGTGATGCCTCTAATGAAGAAATGGTCGTTGAAACTTTATTTATTGGCTGTAGAAGAATCAATTAGTAGCATGCTTGCTCCGAATAATGAACCTGGAAAGGAACAGGCGGTTTACTATTTAAGCAGAGTACTAACTGATGTTGAATGCAGATATTCTTCAATTGAAAAACTTTGTTTATCTTTGTATTATTCTGCCATGAAATTAAGAATATATATGTGGCCGGTTGATGTTTACATTCTATGTCAAACTAATGTTATTAAATATATACTATCAAGGCCATTGATCACTGGCCGAATTAGTAAGTGGGTATTGGCTTTAATGGAATTCAATTTTATTTTTGTCCCACAAAAATTAGTTGAAGGAGGGGTTCTGGCCGATTTCTTGGCCGATCATCCTTCAACTGATATTGATCCACAGGTATATGATGAATTAGAGTCATTAGCCATATTCCTAACTCCTTGGATATTGATGTTCGATGGATTAAGCACGACTGATGGAGCAAGAGCAGGTATTGTTATTACCTCACCAGAAGGTAGAAAAACTTTATTTTCATTTTTCTTAGATTTTAAATGCTCAAATAATCAACCCGAGTATGATGCATTTATAATCGGCCTAGAAATTTTGATTGAAAATGCTATTGGAGATGTAAAGATTTTGGCAGATTGAAACTTGGAACTTAGTCAAATCACTGAAGATTTCAAATGTTTAAGTTGGCAATTAAGGCCATTCCATTCTTTGGCCACTTCATTGATGAATCAATTTGATAATGTTCAACTTAAGTTCTGGCCAAGAGGACAAAATAAAGAGGCCAATAACATGGCCCAAGCAGCCTCTGGAGTTAGAGTACCAGTTGGAATGGAAGATCAGTTGATAAGAAGGACCTTGCCTTTGGCTGAGTTAAGAAATACTATGTTAGCCGATTCCTGGGTAATTAATATAGAAAATCTGGTCGATGATGATTGGAGGATACCATTTATAATGTTTCTTCGAAATCCAAACATCAAAGCTGATAGATGTATCAAGAGAAGAGCAGTCAACTTTCTACTCCTTGATGGGGATCTATATAGAAAATGCCTTGAACATGGACTCCTACTACAATGCATAAGTAAAGAAGAATCACATCAGGTTATGGCCGAGGTATATGAAGGTAGCTGTGGAGCCCACCAAGCTAGGATAAAAATGAGATGGCTGATTTGAAGGTATAGATATTTTGGCCAAGGATAAGAAAAGATTGCATAGATTATGCAAAAGTGTGTCAGGCCTGTCAAAAACATGGGCCGATTCAGAATGTTCCAGCAAGCGAATTACAGCCAATAATCAAATTATAGCCATTCAGAGGCTGGGGTTTTGACCTTATTGGTAAAGTTAATCTGCCATCAAGTGAAGGCCATCACTGGGTGATTGTTGCCACGGATTATTTTACTAAATGGGTTGAGGCCAAAGCTTGTAAAACGGTTGATCAACAAACAGTGATTAACTTCATGGAACAACATATTATCCACAGATTTGGAATTCCAGAAACACTTGTTTTAGACAATGCAACAGTGTTTAGGGCAGCTGATTTGTTACAATTCAGCCACAATATGAACATCCATATGTCAGCCTCTACATTATACTATGCCCAAGCAAATGGTCAGGCTGAGTCTTTAAACAAAATTTTAATAGAGATCATTGAAAAAATGATCAAAGCTAGGCCAAGAAGATGGCATGAGACTTTATCTGAGGCTTTTTGGGCCTATAAATATTCAAAAAGAACAGGCACAGGAATCACACCATACATGTTAACTTATGGTTATGATGCCGTTCTACCTATGGAAAAGAAGGTTAAATTAGCCAGAGTTACATTCCAGAATAATTTAACTCCGGCTGATTATACTCAAGCGATGTTGATAGAATTGGAAGACTTGGATGAAGTTAGATTGGATGCTTTGGATCATATCATAGCTCACAAGAAAAAGGTGATGATGATCTACAATAAAAGGGTAAAACCCAAGTCTTTTGCTGAAGAAGATTTAGTATGGAAAGTTATTCTGCCAGTAGGTAAGGTTAATAGAAAATATGGGAAGTGGTCTCATAAGTGGGAAGGGTCATACTTAGTTCATCAAGTCCTAAGTGGAGGTGCTTACAGGTTGAAGTATCTTAGTGGCCGATTACATGATTACCCCATTAATGGCACTTACCTTAAAAAGTATGTGCCAACAATCTTTAAAAGGGAAAATTAGAGTCAGCCAATACCTTTGGCTGACCATGTGTACCTATATGTAATAAAATTCGGCTGATTTATAGGCTGATTTAATTGTTTCAATAAAAAGGGAATTCTGGCTAAAATATTAATGTTTGTTTAAAGCAGCAAAAGAAGCCATTCATTTAAAATATAAAAGCATTACATCATTTAAGTTCATACATTAAAATGGCAACAGAAAGGGTCCAATTGAAAAAAGGTTTACATGTTTGCAAATTTCTTCTTAAAATCGGCCCAAATCACTAAGGATCGATTGAAAGCAACCATGGATTGTATCTTTGATTCTTCTAATTTAGGTAATTCTTTACGAAGACTTACATGCTCGTGAGCAAGGTCTTGAGCATCAAACTGTAATATGGCAGCCTCGGCAGACAAGATGGCCTTACGAGCATGAATCTGGTTGATCTCCTGTTGGAGAACTCTTTCTCTGTCTTTAAGGCCGACAAACTTTTTTGTTTACCTTACCAAAGGTAGAAGCTTGGGTTAACAACTATTCACCAAGAGTGTCTTTCTTACTTTTGCTTCTATCAAATTGGTTGATCGATTCATTGGCCTGGAAAATCTCATCAGCCAAAGCTGGCAGTTGACCTTTGAAAGTAGCAATGGTGGCTTGGAGGTTGACTAGAAAATCTAGATATTGGTTGAGTGTGGTAAGAACAACCATGAGTTCACTCTCAAATTGAGGAAGATCAGCAGCATCTTTTTGCAAGATTTTAACCAAAGCCTTTTTGGTTTCTTCCATGGTTTGTATTGGAACATTAGCTGAAGTAATTGGAGTTGTTCCTAACGACTCACTTTCTCTTTCTTCAGTTACTGAAGCTAGCATATCTTTGAAGAAATTACTCAAGGCCAGAAGGGAAGAAGCAGGAACTTTTGGTGGAGGAAATGAAGGAATAACTTGAGTTTCTTCATGCACAACTTGTCAATATGGAAAAAGGTTAGAAGTTTAATTTTTAAAATATGAGTAAAATTACAGGTATGAGATAGTCAATACTTTGGAAGATTCAACCATAGTTGCATCCAAGGGTGGTTAATGGCTGATTACTGGTGGAAGAAACTCTGGCTGAAGAGCTGTGCTATCTCTTTGAGATGAAGCTTTGGCAGGAGTAACTTGGACATTTAAAGGAACCTCAATGGGTTCATGAAAATCCTTCAAAGGGCTGAAATTCCTAATTGGGCTATAAACCAAGTCAATGAGAGGAGATTACTGCAAAAGAAAGACCAATGGTGTTAGTAAAAGTATTGAAGGTTGAAAAGCTTATTTAAAAAACCATTATTACCTCTTTTTCATCTGAGGAATGATTAGAAGGATCATTAGCTACATTAATCACAGGGTCATCGGCTAATTCAATCACAGGATCATCAGCCACATCTTCTGTAGGCTGAGGACTTGTTTCAACTTTAAGTTTTTTTGCCTTTGTTGAACTTTATCCTCTTTAAAGTTCCATGGGCAGTAGATTTTTTTTCACTTTCCCTGAAGAAGAAAATCTTATTAAAGATGATCTTGGCCGATAAACAACTCTAACCGAGAAACGGGTATCAATATCGGCCATGTATTTTGCTAATACGGCTGATATGATCATTTGTATTGAAGAATAAAAGTTTCTTAGGCTGAGAAGTATAATCTTTTACCTTGCCCATAAGTGGAGGAGCTGGAGTAACATCAGGGTTGGTGGTTGATTCATTTTCTGCAGGCTGAGGAGGTTGACTTGAAGAAATTTCATCATCTTGAAGCTCAATATTCTCTGGATTAAGGGAGGCTAACAAAGTTTTATTATCTGAATCTACAAAAGGGTAAGAGAATTTAACTCAAAACTTTTAAATATATATATATATATATATATACATATATATAAATAAAAGAAGATTATACTTTTGAGAAGGCTAGCTGTGGCCTTGGCCTTATCTTTTCTTTCTTTATTAATCCTTGTTGGAGGATCTATTGGCTAAAAAAAAGAAAGTTTCTTGGCTGTTTGTTTCTTACCTTTGGGAGGATCTTTTTAAGGCACAACTTTCTTTTGGGTAACAACCCGAGTGATTATGAAAGCCCCTTCAAAGGCAACATATATGAACTGGAATGATTCTAGGATTTTGATGATAAGGGACTAGCATTCAGCCGTCCTGGTAGTAGCAATATAAAAAGACCACCATTGGTCAAAACTGGAATCTGAGGCTGGGTTTTTGATGAAGGGTTGGAATTTGAATCTTGCTTGCAAACTAGAAAACTGATAGGATACATTCTTAACATAAGAGTCATCCGAAAATACTACACGCTGATGAAAATTTTTGTTAAAGGAAAGATAAAGAGGCATGGGAATCATTTGGGTCAGGCCGAATTTCCTAGCAAGTTGACTAGGGTTATAGAACTCAACCCCAACCTTTAAATTCAATGTCCCCAAAGGACCAGTATTGAAATGAAGATCCCTTAAAATAAGAAAACTGGCCTACATGGCCAAAAGTTCATCGGTAGTCTTTTTTATAGATACTCCTTAAGGAGGAGTTAGCCATCAAGGGGCTTAAGAACAATGAGAAAATGGAAGAAATTGGCGTATGGTCATGTGCTCGCAACCAGAGTAGAAGAAGTTGAAGCAATCTCCACATGAGTGAGATTTGAGCACGACCGATGTATAACTCACAAAAAGGAGTGGGTCATTGGCCGATGGCCTCACCACAGGCCCTAACTCAGGAAAGTATATTTGTAGCCAAATTTGAAATAGCCAAAGGGGGCCACCATAACGTCCAAAATTGGAAGTGAGCAAGTCATAAATTGGCCGATGTAAATGAGAAAGCACTAAAGGGGCTAGAGCAAGGGGTTTACCTCTAGAAAGAGCAACGGCCGCATGGATGTAATCTTTGGTAACTTGAAAGGCCGGCACACACAAAAGGAACTTATTCAGGCAAGACAATAAGAATGCAATGTGTTCAGCATCATTTACACAAAGATGAGGATCCATGATAGAATTTAAATACTTGTAATATGAAGACTCGGAGGATTTGGTTCCGATTTATTTAGAAGGAAAGATGAAGGGAAAGTCCTCCTCTACCAATAAGTTGCTCACGTCAATCCCAAAAGGTTTGAGGCCAGTTAAATAGCATACATCTTGAATAGTTAGAGCCATCATGCCACACTTCAAGTGTAAGGAGTTGGTGGTTGTAGACCAGTTGAACATAGCCGCTATCATTAAACCCTATCTTGAGCAATATTTGTTTTGCTCAATTGAATGGCGTCATAAATACCACAATATTTCCACATCTCTCCTTTTACAGCCCCAACTCGGTCGACCCAATTGATCCAAGCATCATTGGGAACATGCCATGTCCTAAAATGAAAATGTGGCAAACTGCCATTTTCATTAGGAGGAAAAGTTTGAAGAAATGAAAGCACGTCGGCTGAGGGGTAGAATGGCGAAATAAATCCAGGAGCTTCATCAAGGAAGGCAGGACCCAAACCCTTGAAGTCGGTACGAAGATCTATTAGAGTATTAAGACAATACTTGTAAGAAGAAAGGGCTTTTAAGGATTTCTAGATAATATTGCCATGAGTCAAAAGATCTGAAGGTTGTGGGGCTGAGGTAGAATTGGTTGATTTCGTTTTCTTAGGGGCTATGGAAGAATGTCAAGAGAAGGAAGTTGGGTTGGTAAGGAAGGGAATTTCAGAGATAGCGACTTAAGGGAAGAAGAATGATTTTAGGGCTTTAGAGAACATGGAGCTAAATACTAATGGAATGAAATAGATATATCCAATCACCGCCTTAATTGGGAACTGATAACCATTAAGACAGGTGGTTGGGTGATGGAAAGAGTTATTACTAAAAAAAAAATAAAAAATTCAAAATTCAAGTTTTAGCCAATTAAAATTCCAAAAGCCTCTTATCATAAGCGACAAGGCATTTGAAATTCAAGGCATTTGTTGGCACCAAAACTTGGCAGCCACCTCAGCGGTGACATGGACCAGTGAGGAGTCGACAAGTGTTCAGCACGGTTCCAAGGAAAGTTGGCCAATAGAAAGACAAAAGGAGAAAATCTAGGGAGATATATTTCAGCCACTTTATTAATAAGGTTGTTGCTAAATATATTTACAGAGATTTGAATCAATTCAATTATGGTCATCGATTAAAAAGGAAAGATTTAGAGATTTAGTCACAATAAATAACTAAATCCCTACAAAGTAGGAATTTAGTTGAAGAAGGAAAAGGAAGGTCGTAAAAGATGGCAACTGTGATATGGGCAAAGCTAACAAAGGCAAGTGACATTTACAAGTATTCAATAATGGGTTTAAAGGGAAATATTATGGTTATCAGAATATACAAATTGCTAAAAATTAGCAAACTTTATAGTAACAAGAGCTGATCAAGTCGAAGGAATTAGTAGATGACAGGGAAGGGTATTCGGCTGAGGAAACTGAAAGCATCAATATTGAAGACAAAGTACACTGGATTTGACTCAGTTTGAATTTTGAGGAGAAAGAATCAAGGCAGAGAGATATTTCAGCAAGAAATAAAGATAGATTAGTTGATTTAGAACTTCTATAAATAGGAAAGTTGTAATCCTATTCCAATTTGTCCAGCACCACCCACAAAACATGAATCAAAATTCATTCAATTGACTTTACGTCATTTATCTTTATTTCTTTTGTCCAAATGGCAAATTTCATTCAAAGAATTTAAGTTCTAGTAACTTACTCTTCTTTTGCAATGCTTTAATTATGTTATTTACATTATCAGTCATTTCTTTCATGCAAACGGATTCAATGGCCAATCTTTGATCAGATTTGCGTTATGTTAATTCAGCCAGTTTATTTCGCTTCATTACTTTCCATGCAATTTCCATTCAGCCAGTTCTTTAAAGTCAGTTTCAATTCAGCCGTTTACTTTTAAGTCAATTTCAATTCAGCCGTCTTTCTTTATAGTCTATTTCCATTCAGCCAGTTCATTTAAATTTTTTTTAGTCATTGCATTTTTATTTCTTTTAACACTTAGA